GGAAACTTTGAAATTACCACAGAAAAATATAGGAAAAACCCTTAAAGTTATGGGCACAGGCAACAACTTTTGAAAAGGACTCCCATAGCTCAGGTAAGATGAGCAAGAATTGACAAATGGGATTGCATCTGATTAATTAACTTTTTCAGGAATTCATCTGACAAGGAATTAATACCCAGAATATATATGGAAGTCAAAAATTAAACAGCAGAGGACAAATAATCCAATTTAATAATGTGCAAATGATCTGAAAAGAGTCCTCAAATGAAGAGACATAAATGGCCAAGGAAGGCAGGGAGAAATGATCAACAAACTTACCCCCAAAGGAAATGCAAATCAAAAGGACATTGAGATTCAATGTCACTCCAGTCAGAATGGTGGTGATCAAGGAAACAACAAATGTTGGCAAGGATGTGTGGAAATGGCATCCATTTACACTGTGGCTGGGATATAAATTAGTGCAGCCACTATAGAAATCATGATGAGGCTCTTCAAAAACCTAAAAGTAGAACTGGTATACATCCTGCTCTGCCTTTCCTGGGCGTATATGCCAAGCAATGTAACATGAACGCCCCTAGCAAGCAGGAGGAAAACATATTCACTCCCCTATTCCAAATTAGTACCCAGCTGGTTTATAATCACAAAAGCTTTGTTTTTCCACTACTGAGGTTTGAACTCTGGCCTTGTGCTTGTTAGGCAAGTGATCTACCACTTGACCATTCCACCAGCACCACCAGCATAATAAAAGGACTAATTTCAAGTGATAGCATAAGTTGTTCATGAGACATGGTAAAAAGCAGGTGACTGGTTCTGGAATGTCTGGAGTGGTTCAGCTAAATGCAATTAGAACATAGTCTGGGCCAGGTTCACCCAAGGGAAGGAGGCCTGGACAGCAGGGAGCAGTGAGTAGAATCTGTCCTTTGGATACTGCAGAGCCAAGTAGCTTGGTTCCTTCTTCTGTCACTCAGGCATTGTGGTGTGATGAAGGTGTTACAGATGTTTGTAATATTGGAACATTTAGGATTTTTAAAATTTTCTGATTATAGTTGATCTACCTGAATGCATTTTTGAAGAAAAGTTTCTGAGATCAAATCAATTTGAACCTTGGCTTATTAGCAAGTTTTTCTTTATATTTTTCAAATTTCTTGATTCTTATGGGACATTGAATTGTCTTGAGTGCAAATTATCTTAGATTTCTCCTGGCAGTTTTGTACTCATCTTCAATTGTCTGGCCTTTCATTTATTTTTTCAAAATGGAAACCCAAAAACTCATTACAAATGATTATGGCTTTACAGACCAGTTCTTAGATTCTTGTTTGGTTCATTGTATAACATGGTCATACCTGGGATTTTCACTCAAATATTCCCTTTTCATATCATGGATCAGCATAGAGGAGACTTGTTTCCTGACTGACTAGTAAGAGAGTAAAATCATGCTTTCAAACAGCGGCCAGGTTAATGAAGATTTCTGTTTGGCAGTTTTTTTGGCAGTACTGGGGTTTGATCTCAGGGTGTCACACTTGCAAGGCAGGTGCTGTACCACTTGTGCCACTCCCAGCTGATCCTGATGTTTTCTACCATCACATCTCTGTACAGCTTCTGTTGTAAAGAATCCAGCAAAGCCCACTCCTCCAGGGGGAAGTTGCCACAATATCATCAATGGTCACAGATGCTAAAGCATCACAAGCATATTTCAAGGAGGAAGTATTGATAGTACTGAAGATCTAGACTTATAAATTTTCACATGACACTATGGTCTCAGAATTTTCATTCTATATCTTGGTCATCACACTCTTACTCTCCATTCATACTTCTCACACAGCATTTTCTTTTATTCATATGTGCATACAATGTTTGGGTCATTTCTCCCCCCTTCCCCCTCACTACCAGGCAGAAACTATTTTGCCCTTATCTCTAATTTTGTTGAAAAGAGAATATAAGCAATAATAGAAAGGACCAAGGGTTTTTGCCAGTTGAGATAAGGATAGCTATACAGGGAGTTGACTCACATTGCTTTCCTGTACATGTGTGTTACCGTCTAAATTAATTCTTCTCAAACTAACCTTTTGTCTAGTTCCTGGTCCCCTTCTCCTATTGGCCTCTGTTGCTTTGAAGTATCTGCTTTAGTTTCTCTGCACTGAGGGCAACAAATGCTATCTAGTTTTTTGGGTGTCTTACCTATCCTCATGCCTCTCTTGTGTGCTCTCACCTTATCATGTGATCAAAGTCCAATCCCCTTGTTGCTCACACAGCATTTTCATGCTACTGCAAAAACAATAGCTAAAACAATAGCACAAGTAGAACAACACTGTCCTTCAGAATCACATGCCTCAAGTGGTAGAGTGCCTGCTTTTCAGGGGGTATGCCTTCAGTTCAAACCCCAGTCTTATCAAAACCAGTGGCTCACACCTATTATCCTAGCTACTCAGGAGGTATAAATCAGGAAGATCACAGTTCAAATCTATCCCCAGTCAAATAGTTCATGAGACCCTATCTCAAATTACCCAACACATAAAAGGACTGTTGGGGTGACTAACAAAATGGTAGATCTCCTGCCTAAAAAGGGTAAGGCCCCAGAACTGAAAAAAAAAAAAAAAGAAATTCTCCATCCAAAGTTTTCCTATATTGGATATGTGCATACCAACATAATGACCCAAGTGACAATTTCTGATGTTTTAATATATACTTGAGCCACACCTCCAGTCCAACTACTTTAATAGGTAAGTAGATAGTGTTTGCAAAATATTGGGAGGGATTATTAAGATACCCATACATATACCACTGGTTTGATAATATCTGTCCTGGAACCATCTTCCATGTTGAAAAATTCTTACTGCCCATAAAACTACTACTCTTTGATAAGTCAAAAAAAGAAAAGCTTAGTAATATGCTACTCATTATTTCTAGAAGTGAAGTGGTAGGGAGATTCTGTGAACATAAAGAAGACATTCAGTGTGGTAATGATCAACCATACTCCAGATCATATTATGAACCATAATATCCATACTGGAGTGGAATCAAGTGAAAGCTGTGTGTGTAAAGAAGTTTTCTTCAGGCATTCATCCCTGGGTCTGCCTTTCAGGGCTCACAGTGGACACCAGCCACATTAGGATCAGGAATATTGAGAAATGTCACGTAAATGTAAAGAATGTTGGAAAGTCTTTACTGCTTCCAGATTCATTAAAAGGCATGAAAGAACTCACACTGGTGAGACACATTTTGTATGTAAGCACTGTAGAAAAGCCTTCTTTTGTTGGAGTGGCCTTCACAAACATTGTAAACAATGTGGGAAAGTCTTCTTATACTTGAGTGATCACCAAAGATGATAGAATTCACACTGGGGTGAAACCCTATGTATGCAAGCAATTGGGAAACACTCTATTCTTCCAGTTACCTGAAAAATACCTGGTTTATTTGAGTGACCTTCAAACGCATGAATGACTTCACATTGATAAGAAAGAAAGCCATCTACCAAAGCTTATACCAGGAGACAGAATACACATAAAAGGGTTTGTATTAAATACAGTGACTCATGGTTGGTGGAGTAGCTCAAGTGTTAGAACACCTGCCAAGAAATCATGAAGACCTGAGTACAAGGCCCATTACTGACAAAAGAAGAAATGAAAGAATACAGAGTAAAATGATGAGATCCTACCCCATGTTCATGGATGGGTGAAATTTATGTTGTGAAGATAGCTACATTACTGGATGGGATCTACGGTTTCCATGCAATGCCATCAAAATCCCAGTGACATTCCATACTCAAACACAGAAAAAATCATCTTAAGATTCCTATAGAAGCACAAAAACCCCAGACAATCCAATCCTGAGTAAAAAGATCAATGCTGCTTTAAAAAAAATTGCAGGTTTCACAATACCTAACTTTGAATTTATGATATAGAGTCAGAGTAACAAAAATATCAGGTAATAGCAAAAAAAAAAAAAAGCAGACCAGTGGAACAGAAGGCCTAGAATGTTATACACACACACACACACACACACACACACACACACACACACATTATCATAAGGAAGAATGCAATTACGTAATTGTCAGGAAAAATGGATGGACCCAGCTTCATCATGTTAAGCAAAACAAACCAGACTCAGAGACAAAAAAATGTCACTCTATTTTTTATTTTTCCAATACCTGGGTTTCAACTCAGGGCCTATACCGCGAGCCTTTTCTGATGGCTTTTTTGGAGATAGGGTCTGGTGAACTATTTGCTGGTGCCGTTTTGCAACCGTTACCCTCCTGATCTCTACCTCCTGAGTATCTAGGCTTACAGACCTGAGCCTCCAAGGCTGGGTGCAGGTTTATATCATGCTTATTTTCTTGAATTTTTACAAGAGGGCCAGTTTGGGGTGGAAAATATTGGGAAAGGTGCAGAGAAAGGGGAATTTGATGAGAGGGTGAATATGAACAAGTCATTATATGTATTCATAAAAATAGCAAAATGAAGCACATTCATTCTAAAATGGGGGAGAAGGGAGGGATGGTGAGGAGGAGTAGAGGGAGTGAGAGAGGTGAAAGCACATTCTGTGCTCCTCTGATCATAGCGCAGTGAAACCTCCATGAAGAAGTGATGGACACTAACACAAGTCTCCACTCAAGTGGAAACCACAGCTACACGGGAGCGAGAGGAAACTTGATAAAAGTACCGATCTGCAAGCACAGCGTAAGATGTTCAGGAGGCGTGGGGAGAAGCAAGTGTCTGGTCTGGAAAGTCGGGACTGGTTCTGCTCAACACACTTAGAGCCAAGGCTGGGCCAGGTTCGCCCAAGGGGAGGAAGCCTAGACCGCGGGGAGCGGTGGGAGGAATTTGTCCTGTGTTCTAGAACCTGGCAGAAAACGCCCTCCTCTCACCCCGTCGTCAAGGGGCGGGGCCTGGATCATTATCCAATCAGAATGGAGTGCGTAAGAACTGACCAATGAGGAGCGCGGATCTTAGGACGTACCCGCTGCCCAAAGCACTGCCTTCCATTCAGGAACCGCCATACTTGATCTCCGCGTCTAAGCCGGGAGAAGCCCCAGGTTTCCCAGCCTTGGCCGCTCTGTGTCCCCTGACTGCAGGAGCCTAAGGACGACGCCGGGTGTCTCGGGAAATGGTGAGATTTCAGCCGGGGTGGCAGAGCCGCGGCGGGGACCGGCCAGATGCTGCGGTGGCCCCTGTGTGCTGTGCGTCCTCCCCCGGCTCTGCTCGTCCTCGCTCCTCTGGGCCGCAGGGTGGGGCTGGGCCGGAGCCGGGACTGGGAGAAGCGTTTTTCTCTGAATGAACCGGAAAGGGCAGTTCTGATGCGGGCCTGGGGAGAACAGCTGTCAGGAAGCCTGAGTCCTCGCACATAAGTGGCTTTGAGTAGAAGGTTGGTGGAGACACAGCCAGCATAGGCCGCTCCCAGGAGACCTCAAAAGTGAGGAGGTCTTTTGTCAATTGGGACGGAATTGCCATCCTTGTTACCATTAGGCAAAGAATTTGGCTGAGTGATTTTTATGTCCCAGAACTTTATGGAGTTGGAGAACTTCCAAGTGATGGAGGAGGATATTTGGCAGGAGAAATCTGAGCTGCAGTGTTGGCTGGGTGATGGCTTCTCTTTCTGGCTTCTAGGAAATTGTAGAAAGAGAGAAACCTCATAAAGACTAATGTTATTCAGGAGCAGTGATGCACTCCTGTGATTTCAGCACTCCGGAATTTGAGGTCATCCTGGGCTACACTGAAATACCCTTTCCACCCCCCAAAATTCTCATATCCAAGGGAAAGTAGACGGTAAAGATCTGAAAAACTCTCAGCCTAGCTGTGCTGGATACCAAGTATAGTGTCTAAGAAACTATTAAGATGCTTTTCATGGATGGAATTAAATCACATGTTCTTACATCTGTGCAGTGGAGGAAATTGTGAAGTGTTGATCTTCAAAGCTGCTAGCCCATGACTAGTTAAGACATTGACATACAAAGTTTAAATAGTGTGTCAGGTGCCACTGGCTTATGTCTGTAATCCTCTCTACTTTTCAGTCTGTGATGGAGACGATGTCAGTTCAGGGTAGCCTGAGCATAGTTCACAAGAACCCCATCTCCAAAATAAACACAGCAAACTGGAATGGAGATGTGGCTCAAGTGGAAGAGCACCTGATTTGCAAGCATGACGTCCCAAGTTCAGCCCCACATCCATCAAAAAAATGTATGTGTGTGTGTTTATGTCTATATGTATGTGTATATATACACAATCATACTAACGTACATATATGTTTGTGTGTACACACATGCACACACATATGGAAGGAGGTGGCATCAATGTGAATAATGTGGGAAAGCCTCTAGTCAGCCCTGGTGAATTTGATATAAATTAGCATCCTTACTCTAGTGAGAAATCCTGAGTAGATGACATGTTACAAAGTCTTCACATAGCCATCATCTAAGAATGCACCTAAGATCCTAATCTTGCTAATGTAGCCAGGCAGCAGTGGCTCTCCCTTAATTTTCTAGCTACGTTGAAGCTTGATATTGGGAAGTTCTCAGTTCAATGCCCAATGGGGTAATGTTTCATGAGACCCCATTTTCAACATTTCTAGAGAAATATGGACTGGAATTATGGCTCTAGTGGTAGACTCCTTGCTTTGCAAGCACAATGACCTGAGTTCAAATCCTAAATCCATGAAAAACAGATAATGTATACAAAATGCTGACCTTGTACACTTTTGATACTCAGTAGTATAAATGATTGCCTGTGTTTACAGAGAAGACTGTGCCTAGAAACACTTCCATGATGTCTCTATTATACTTTCTGGTCATCCCCCATTCCATGAGTGTTCACCCTTGACCACACTATCTCAGCTTTCCATTCCCTCATTTTCACATGTTGACTTCTGACTTGTGCACTAAATATTAGAGCCTCAAATTTTCCAATAAATGTCTACTTCACACCTGAACTGGGACCTGGTTGTCCTCTGAAGATCTCAGTAGTATGAATCTGCTTTTTTAGAAGAATTTTTCTTTTCTTTCTTAGCACACTCTGCCCTTCAGGTCTGAGGAGAAAACATAACTGTTGTCCTGTCCACTGTGCTCCTCTCAAACAAAAATTCTCCTCCTTCATCGTGTTTTTGAGGTTCTGTTCTCTGACATGGACCACCACCTTCTTTTGACCATTATTTTCAGGCCTGTAAATGCTACCTCCTCATTGTCACTGAATTCATTAAATGTTCTCAAATGAATAGTATTCTTGCCACTTCACTAAAACTGCTTTTAGTGGTGGTCTTGATAACCACCAACTTCATAGTCTCAATTTCAAAGATTAATTTCATGCTCTTTATTGAACACCTAACAGGAAATGGTGTCATATAGGACAATAGGACCCCAGTTCTCTATAGTTGCCCAATGCAGAGAATCCCTAATGGGAGAACCATGGTTGTACCTGTAGACTTTGTGTCAGTTCCTGAGATGCACATTTCTGTTAGAGAGCTTCCAGGAACCACAGGCCAGCATGTGGAACCCTGCTATTCTGTGACCTCCAAATTCAAACATGGACTTGTGCATTGCTTTTCCTAATTCAGAACCAGAGTCTGTCCCATTTGTGATGTAAGTGGCTTCCTCAGCCACCAGGTATGCTGTGGACAGCTCGACCCTGTGTGTCACCAACACCAAGGTGATGGCTATCATGGCTTCTCCTCCCTTGTGCTGGGCTCCTGTGCGGGACACTGTGGGGTGGGGTCCCCGTGTCTTCTCAGTGGTGCCAGTCTTCAGGATCTTGGGAAGGTCATGTAAACTCCACGACCTGTCCCCAGGCACTGGCCATGAACCCCAACTTCTAAGTCCTGCCCACATCACTCAACACCCTGGAAATGGCAGTTCTTGTACAGGGTGGCTGATGGCGGGCAGGGGACACTGCAACTCTCTGTGATGTCATGATAACCACTCTTGCCATTTCTAGACCTGGTTTTAAGAAGCAAAATATGATGGTAGAGAAGGGACAGTATTTGAATGGTGAGTGGCAGCTTTTTGTTTGACAGAAGAAAGAACTTAGGGGGACACTGGGGAGGAGGATCATTAAAAATAAGCCAAAGCTCGGTAGGACACTGCCTTACAAGATCCCTTTGGAAGCACTGCAATGATTTGTGAGGAAGTCCTACATAAAAATCCCAACTGTAATTACATCCCCTTGAGCTCTGGGCCTCTCATTTGTACAGACTTTAGAACTGAGTCAAAAAGCAACAGGGCAGAAGATTCACACAAGTGGGTGACAAAATGTGTCACAGAGAGGTTCAAAGTGGGCAAGGAAGGATGTAAAGACTTGAGGTCACTCTCAGTTTATTGTCTGTCTCTTGTGGATTTTGCAGCCAGTTGTGGCTTTGTCTGTCAAAACTGCTTCCCCTGAGCCTGCATAGCAAGCTTTAATTAGTGGCAGCTGCCTATTCTGAGCTGACATTGCCTAAGACTCTCTCATGTGGAAAGGCAGGGTGGTAGGTCCCTTAGCTCCTCTAAGGTGAGGGTGAATGAGCTGTTCAGTCTAGGGAGGAGCAACCAGAATTCAAAGATAGTGTGTGTTGGGGGAGGACATGACGGAACAAAATCAATTCTGGGATCATAGAACATGGTCCCCTGAAGTCAACCTGTCCTTAAGGTGATGGTACAGGAGAAATGGTGTGTGGGCTCAGGCCAAGGGTGGGTCAAAGATCTCAGGTATGCAGGAAGCAAGAGACTTAAAAAGAGTTGGGTTAATTATTTTTTACAATCAGCTCAGCTAACCATGTTTGTTTGTTTGTCTTCTTATGCAGTGTTGTCACTTTCGACCATTGACATGTTTGTTTGTTCCTTTTAAGTATGTACATTCCTTTTCCAATGTTTTTAATCCTTATTTGTTTTGTGTTTCTTCTTGCTGAATCTAGAACACTCATATAATATTAGACAATGTATAGCTTTCGTAATCTAAAGCTCTTCAGTGGTTTTAGGAATTTGATATAACTAGGATATCGAAGGTATTTCGGACTGTTTAAAGGTGTGATTTGGAAATTATAGAATTGGTTTTTTTGGTGGTAGCAGAGTTTGAACTCAGGGACTCAAGTTTCCTGGGCAGGATCTCTTACTACCCGATCCACTTTGCCAGCCCTTTTTTATTTATTTATTTATTTATTATTCGTATGTGCATACAATGCTTGGGTCATTTCTCCCCCCTGCCCCACCCCCTCCCTTACCACCCACCCCACCCCCTCTATCTCCCCCCCACCCCCTCGATACCCAGCAGAAACTATTTTGCCCTTATCTCTAATTTTGTTGAAAAGAAAGTATAAGCAGTGAAAGGAAGGAACAAGGGTTTTTGCTAGTTGAGATAAGGATAGCTATACAGGGAGTTGACTCACATTAATTTCCTGTGCATGTGTGTTACCTTCTAGGTTAATTCTTGATCTAACCTTTTCTCTAGTTCCTGGTCCCCTTCTCCTATTGGCCTCAGTTGCTTTTAAGGTATCTGCTTTAGTTTCTCTGTGTTGAGGGCAGGAAATGCTAACTAATTTTTTAGGTGTCTTACCTATCCTCATATCTCCCTTGTGTGCTCTCGCTTTTATCTTGTGATCAAAGTTCGATCCCCTTGTTGTGTTTGCCCTTGAGCTAATGTCCTCATATGAGGGAGAACATACGATTTTTGGTCTTTGGGTCCAGCCTAACCTCACTAAGAATGATGTTCTCCAATTCCATCCCTTTACCAGTGAATGATAACATTTCATTCTTCTTCATAGCTGCATAGAATTCCATTGTGTATAGATACCACATTTTCTTGATCCATTCATCAGTAGTGGGGCATCTTGGCTCTTTCCATACCTTGGCCAGCCCTTTTTTTAATGATGGAGGTTTGCAAATGCTTTGCCTAAGTTGGCATCCAGCCAAAAGCCTCCTGCTCTCTGCTTCCTGGGTAGCTAGGAATATAGGCATGAGTCACTGACTCCAGACTGAAATTGTAGAATTTTATATGTCTGTTTAGCCCACAAATCTTGATGACTGTGAGCTCTGACTAAGGATATGTGCCATCTCTTTCCTTTTTCTACTTGTTGAAATTTCAAAATAAAAGGTATAATTTTTATTTAAGTGCATACTGAATTATCCTTCCTCAGTCCTCTCTAGTTTTTCATTGAGTGTAGTCTACAAGAATACAAGTACAAACATCTGATGTCTGTCTTTCTTTTTAGTCACAAGGGATGTGATGCATTCACTTTGCTGAGAAGCAACTTGGTGTTTTGTTTTGTTTTTTTTCCCTGTGGGACTGGGGCTTAAAGTTAAGGCCTGGTGCTTCCTCTAATCCTTCAGACACTACATCAAGTGGTTTTTGTGAGAATTTTTGAGATACTGTTGTACAAACAGTTTCCCTGGATTGGCTTCCCACCCTGATCCTCCTCATGTCTGCCTTCCTGTCCTATTAAAGTGGTTTTTTTCATTCTTTTTTTCTTGTTTCCTTGTTTTGTTTTGGATTTTTTGTAGTTGTTTTGAACTAGGTCCTCACGCTTGCTAGGCAGGTGCTCTCACTTCTTGAGGCACTGTCCCAGTCCTTTTCTGTGATGGGATTTTTCAGATAAGCTCTGATGAAGTATTTGTCCAGGTCTGGCTTCAAACTGCTCCCCTCCTGATGTGTGACTCCTCAGTCACTAGTATTACACACATGAGCCACCAGCATGCCTGGCCCAATTGAAGTTTTTAGTCCTTTGAACATTATGTGTGCATTTCTCCCAAGTCTTGTATTCAAGATTGTTTTCCTTTTTTTCCCCAGAATCAAAAAGTTATTGAAAACCTAAAAGAAAAAAGGTGGTCATTTTTATGCCTCAGAAAATCAAATATAGTTGCATTATCTTGGAGAGAGAGTCATTAAATTATAAGGGTTTCTCTGAGAAAACAGAAATTTCAGAAGATTTATAAATCAGTAGTGTTGCTTACTTCCAAAAGAGCAACCTTCCATGAGCCTGGCTTCTCCTCCTGTAGGCTGACACTGCACTGTTTAACATTGTGCACAAAGAAGCACTGTTTGCATGTGGCTGAAAACTGGGATGATCTTGTAGCCACCTGAACATTTTACATCCATAAAATACAAATTTGGACATTGAACTAATAATTTTTTCATGTTTTTTCTTTTCCTCTTACAAGGAAAGATGTAGAAATCTCTAACCAAAGGCATGATTTGTCCTTTGGCAAGCCTAATGTATCTCAATCACTCAGTTAACAGCCACCACCAGCAAGCAGCACTTCCTAGGCATACCAGGCTGAGATGTTCTGCTTTGACTTCTGCATTGAGGCTGCCTGGAGATATGTGACATAGTGATGGAGCACTGGGTTTTGAACTCAGGGCCTCCTGTTTGCTAGGCAGCCCCTCTTTCTACTTGAGCTATTCCACTAGTCCTGTGTTGGGTATTTTTGAGATAGTGTCTATCGATATATTTCTCCTGATCTCTGTTCCTGTGAGGTAGGAAAGCAGGCATGATTCACCAGAGCCAGCAACCTGTAGTATCTAAATCTTTGATGGATCTTGTATTTTGGTCATACCTGAATTCCTTTATGCAACGAATGTTAAATAATTTCCTATATCCTTTGAAACTATGAAGTTCAGGTTTTCCATTTAGGTCTATGATCCAAATAGACCAAATACATTCTAGGCATCTGCTGTTAGTGGCTTTGTTTTGTTGTTGATGTTGTTATTGTTTTTATTCATTTTAGTATGACAGGATGAAGTACAGGCAAGGTTTTTAGCTAGTGAAACAAAGAGAGAAATATTTCCTATCCCCACCCAAGAAATGAAGCAAGAGTCCTGATTTTTTTCTTTTTTGAAATAGAGTCTCCTTAAGTAGGCCAGGATGAGAGTGAACTCACAGTCCTTTTTTGCTTCCCATATGCTGGGATGAGTGGCTGGAATGAAGTTTTTTATGGGCTTCATTCACATATTCTTTTACATATTTTATGTTGATACACCAAATTGTGAATGGAACAGTAACATGTTAAAAAAAAAAAAAACAAGAACAACAAATGCGCTTGATAGGCCAGGAATGTGTGGCTTAATGGTAGAGTATTTGCTTAGCAAGCACAACACCCTGGATCCAATCTCCAGCACCACACACAAACACAAAAAATGAAGGTGAGAAGTTTTGGCTGGCCAAAATCCATTGATGGATTCAACTTTAAAACAGTCTACTGAGAGGTGTTTGAACTGCGGAAGGTAGCTTCTCCTTGGAGGCATACTTGCAGTTGGTTTTTGCAAAGGATTTTGTCATTGGTATGGAACTGTCTGTGCTATGAGTTGACATTGAGTAAACTTACATACAATTTATCATCTAATCCTTTCTCTGAAAATGGCCAGCCTTCAACTTTAAAATAGTCTACTGGGAGGTGGTTGAACTGTGGAAGGTAGTGCCTACTGGGGACATAGTTTGAAAAACATACACCTTGTCCCTGGCCCCTTCCTATCACACTGTCTTCTTCCTATCCCTGTAGGATTAGCTGCTTTACTAGCATTCCAGGTAGTAGGCACCTACACCCACCTTGTGGCTTGTTTTTTATGTGGTTCTGCTGTGTAGTAATTTTGGGTAGTGAAACAGTGGGAAATGAAGATTAGGGGTGCTTTCTCTGTGTGTTTATAGTGACTTTCTCATTTTCCCCATTCATTTGGTTAAGGTTACATGAATAGAATTCATTGTCTGGTTAGCAGAAGGGGAAAAGAAAGTGAAGGTAAAAGGAACTGTTACCTTCAGTTCCTTGAAAATCACATCAGATGGAGAACAGGGACCAGGATACAATAGAGGGAATGCAACAAGAATGCCCCCTCCCCAAGTCACATTGAAGGAGAGCTGCACAGTATCTGCCAAACTGACTTTTGCCTCACCCTGAAATCTATGCTCTGCATTCAGGTGGTTTCTCAAACTCATGCAATTGGTTTTTGCAAAGGAACTGCAGCATTCTGTCACTGGTACTGTGCTGAGTTGAAACTGACTAAAATTTAGTACAGTTTACTATCCAGTCCTTTTTCTGAAAATGACAACCCTTCAGTGGACTCCTGAGTCTTGAAATACCCACCTGGGAGAGGGGTTGGCAGTGAAATTTTTTCTTTGGGGGAATAAATTCAGCACACTCCTTATTCTGCCATGTGTTCTGTATCCTGTCCCCTTCCTATGTAAATTAATACATTATTTTGGGACTCAGCTTAAGTGTCCCTTCCTCAGCAAGTGTCATTACTTACACTTCAATTAGCTTTATTGCTTTCTTGAACATTTCATTCATAAGAAAGAAATTCTTCTGAATAGTATATAAAACCTGTAGTTTTATGAATTGTTACTCCTCAAAAAATGATGTGCCCTCTTGCACTGAGATTAGCTTTAATTTTCACAGCCTCTTTGAACTGTGGATTTATAAGGGTTGTGTTGAGACTCCTGGTATTTACAGAGATGACAATCAGTTTAAAATGTTCGGTGTGTGTTCTCAAACATGTAGTGTGTGACAGGTTAGGGAAAAAAGAATCAAAACATTATCTTCCACTCACAACATGAATGAATTCTCAAAGATAGTTTCAAATGAATAATTTAAATTGAACAACATAAGAGAGTCTCAGTTGGATTGAAGAAAGGGAAATTACAGTGCTTGAGAAGATAGGTTTCTGGGAAACAATGGCCCATCCCTTTAATCCTGGCTACATAGGATTTTGATATTGGGAGGCTTCTGTTTCCAAGCAGCCAGGTCAAATAGTTTAAGAGACCCCCATTTGCAATGTTAGCAGAGCTAAATGGTTGGAGGTATGGCTCAAGTGGTAGAGAGGCTATTTTGCAAGGAAGAAACCCTGTATCCAAATCCCGATACCACCAAACAAAGGAGGCAGAGATTATGGGGATCATGATTCAAAACTAGCTTGTCAAATAGTTCATGAGACCCTATCATGGAAAATCTTTCAAAAAAATGACTGGTGGATTGGCTCAAGGTATAGGGACTGAGTTCAAACTCAAGTACTGGGGGAAAAAAATTGCACGTTGATCATGGAAACTGTTTAGAAACACTCAGTTCCTCTTTCATTTTACCTGATGAGTTAATGCCACCAAAGTTCCAAGCACAGTTGAACTTTGTGTTCAAACATTTCTAAGAATACATAGTCTCAGGACAAGTGATTTTTGTTATGTTTTTCCTTTTGTTTTTCCTTGTGAGAGTGTGGCTTGAACTCAGGGCATGCTTACCAGCCCTAGTGATGTTGATTGTCTTGTGCAAGCTGAATTGCAGTTCAGCATTATGACAGAAATTATAGACCCACTCTTTAATAAGAAATTGGGGTGGTTCAGGAGTATTCAGTTTGTTCTGCTACTGCTGTTGCTTTCACAAGTATTTTCAGGCTAGTATTAAAAGTGCTGTGTGAATGAGTGTGGGTTTCCATGAAGAGCATGTGTTTAATACCCAAGACATGGAATGAACATTTTGAGAACACAGCATCCTGTGAACACTGGAAGTCTATATCTTCAGTACTGTCAGTCTGACCTTCCTCCTTGAAATACACTTGTCATGTTTTAGGCATCTGTGACCTTTGATGACGTGTGTGTCAACTTCACCCAGGAAGAGTGGGCTTTGCTGGATCCTTCAGAACAGAAGCTGTACAGGGATGTGATGGTGGAAACCTTCAGGAACCTGGCCTCTGTTGGTAAGGATGACTTCATTCCCTTATTCAATGAGAGAACCAGTGTTTGGTGCTCTTCAATGCTTTGGATTAATTTGGAATGTGAAAACCATAAATTCAGTGCCTGTACAAGATGTTAGCACATTATACCATAAGCCTACTTAGAATCTAGTAGTTATTCTATAGTAATGTTATTCAAATTTTTCTTTTTCTGTCTCTATTTTATTTAAAAAAAAAAAAAAAAACAGAGGAAGATCAGACCAATGAAGAGATTCACAGAAATTCCAGAAGCAATCTAAGGTAATTTGCACTCACAACAGAAAGCATCTTAGACACTGAAGGAAAGTGTCTAAGAAACTGGCTATGTCAAGTTATGGAAACAGCCAAGATGCCCCACTACTGACAAATGGATTAAGAAAATGTGGTATCTATACACAATGGAATTTTATGCAGCCATGAAGAAGAACGAAATGTTATCATTCGCTGGTAAATGGATGGAATTGAAGAACATCATTCTGAGTGAGGTTAGCCTGGCCCAAAAGACCAAAAATCGTATGTTCTCCCTCATATGTGGACATTAGATCAAGGGCAAACACAACAAGGGGATTGGACTATGAGCACATGATAAAAGCGAGAGCACACAAGGGAGGGGTGAGGATAGGTAAGACACCTAAAAAACTAGCATTTGTTGCCCTCAACGCAGAGAAACTAAAGCAGACACCTTAAAAGCAACTGAGGCCAATAGGAAAAGGGGAACAGGTACTAGAGAAAAGGTTAGATCAAAAAGAATTAACCTAGAAGGTAACACACATGCACAGGAAATCAATGTGAGTCAGTGCCCTGTATAGCTATCCTTATCTCAACCAGCAAAAACCCTTGTTCCTTCCTATTATTGCTTATACTCTCTCTACAACAAAATTAGAAATAAGGGCAAAATAGTTTCTGCTGGGTATTGAGGGGGGGGAGAGGGAGGGGGATGAGTGGGTGGTAAGGGAGGGGGTGGGGACGGGGGGAGAAAGGAACCAAGCCTTGTATGCACATAAATAATAAAAGAAAAAAGGGAAAAAAAGAAACTGGCTATGTGAAGGGGAGGTTAATACTGAGAGGGGAGAGGGTAAATGAAGGGGGTTAAAAGGGTATGGTCGATTTGCCTTTATTGGCAGGGTTGAGGGAAAGGAGTTGTGGTTTGTCCTGTGCCCTTGGAACTGGCAAGGCAAGCATTTTAACACTTGCAGCAAACCTCTGGTGTGTTTTGCTCTGGGTTTTTTGGACATGGGTCTTGAGAAATATTTGCCCTGGTGGACCTTGAAACTGGATCCTCTAAGTCTCATTCACCCTAGTAGCTAGGATTCCAGGAGCTAGCCACTCCCCCACCATGTTTGGTGTACTTACTACACATGCATTTGTATGGAACAGTGAAACCTATTGAAGTTATTTTAAGGTGGGGAATGAGGCAGGAAGAACAATGAAAGAGGGCATGAAACAAACTGGGATATAATATATGTATATATGTAAATGTCACAGTGAAATCCCATGTATAAATACCATATAGCACTAAAAATAATCAAAAAGAAAGGAGAGGGAACAAGATATGTCATTTAAACAAAGAGGACTATAGGTGTGTCCCACGTGATAGAGTGCATGCCTTGCAGGTGTGAAGCGCTGAGTTCAAACCCCAATCCATAAAAAAAGATGAATTAAAACAGTCAAGGAGAATTGCATTTTTTTTTCTTTTGTGCTCAGGATTAATCTCTGGGCCTCAAGCTTGCTACACAGGTGCTCTACCACTTGAGCTATTCCATAACCTAGAATAAAATTTGTCCAAAAAAAATGATGTTTTGGGCTTGTAGACTTTCTCAAGTGAAGCAGTATACTGCTAACATAGCCAGTGTGAGGCTGCTTTTCAAGCAGTGTGCCTTACATTCAAACCTTATGCTTAACCAAAACCAAAACAAGTGGGTTTTGTTGTTGTTGTTGTTGCACCACCATGAGGCAACATGCTGGTGTATCATACCTGTAATCATAGGTACTTGGGAGACATAGATCAGGATGATCAAAATTTGAAACCATCCTCCAGCAAAGAATTCTTGAAGCCCTAACTCAAAACTCCCTAACACGTTAAAGGGCTGGCAGACTGGTGCAGGTGGAAAAGTGCCTGTCCATCCACCATGAGGCCTTCAGTTCAAACACCAGTACTACACACAAAAAAACCCCAGGAAATTCCAATCCAAAATTTTCCAATATCAGAAATGTGTAGTACCAACATGATGCCCCAGTGATAATCTGCAGTTTTTAATGTACAAAACCTTTCATTCAATAAATTGTGAAAAATATTATATGAACTTTCCTTCAGGCTGTGAATATATGGTGCATTTGCTGAACATGAATTCTGTGTTTGGATTGGTGCCTATAATCTTCAATATAGCTTCTTACGATTATGCAAATACTTCAAAATCTAAATGATTTTGCTCACAGCTTTTCCATGTACAATACTCAAATGCATTTAATTGTAAATTAGGTAGTCAATGTTCGCAAAATACTGGGATGGAATCTTTAGATACCCATAACCATGCCATTGGTTTGATAATATATCTACTGGAACCATCCTGCGTGGTCAAAAATTCTTTCAGGGCATAAAATTATTACTCCTCCTGGGATGTATTTGAAAATATAGCTCAGTAATGTGTTTCTCATTATTTCTAGAGGTCAATTTATATGGAGATTCTGTGAACATGAAGATATTCAGTGTGGAGAAGTCTTCATCCAAACTCCAGATCATATTGTGAGCAATAATACTCCTGCTGGAGTAGGAACAAATGAAAACTGTGTGTGTACAGAATTCTTCATCAGGCATCCATCCCTGAGTCTGTCTGTCATAACTCAGAGTGGATGTGAGGCACATGAGTATCAGGAATATGGAAAAAAGCCACTTAAATGGAAGGATTCTGGGAAAACTTTTCCTGATTCCAGATTTCTTAAATGGTATGAAAAAAGTCACCCTAGACAGACACCTTTTCTATGTAAGCAGTGTGGAAAAGTCTCCTTTCATGTTACTGGCCATTGCAAACATGAACTGACTCATGGTGGAGAAAAACTGTATGTGTGTAAGCGATGTGGGAAACCCATGTCACATTTGTGTGCCATTGAAAAACACAAAAGAACTTCCATTACAGAGAAACGCTATGTGTGCAAGCAATGTGGAAAAACCTTCAGTTCTTCCAGTTACCTGAAAATACATGAATGTTTTCACCCGGGAGTGAAGCCCTTTATATGGAAGCAATGTAGAAAAGGCTTTAGTTCATCCACCTGGATGAACCTCAATAAACATGAACAACTTCACATTGGAGCAAAACCTTATGCATGTAAACATTGTGGGAAAGCCTTCTATTTGTCCAGTGAACTTCGAAGACATCTAAAAACTCACACTGGTGAGAAACCCTATGTATGTGAGCAGTGTGGGAAAGCTTTTAGTTCTTCCAGTTACCTCAAAACACATGAAAGAACTCACACAGGAGAGAAGCCATTTACATGTAAGCAATGTGGAAAAGCATTTAGTAGATATGGTTCCCTGAAAACACATGAGAGTATTCACACAGGAGCAAAACCTTATGCATGTAAACAATGTGGAAAAGCCTTCTATTGGTCCAGTAAACTCCAAAGACACATAAAAACTCACAGTGGTGAAAAACCTTATGTATGTAACCAGTGTGGAAAAGCTTTTAGTTCTTCAAGTTACCTCAAAACCCATGAAAAAACTCACACTGGAGAGAATCCCTTTGCATGTAAACAATGTGGAAAATCCTTTAGTACATACAGTTCCCTCAAAACACATGAAAGAATTCACACTGGAGCAAAACCTTATGCATGTAAAAAATGTGGGAAAGCCTTCTGTTGGTCCAGTGATGTTAGAATACATGAACAAAGTCACTGTGGTGAGAAACCCTCTGTATGTACGCAGTGTGGAAAATCTTTTAGTTCTTCCAGTTACCTCAAAAACATGGCGAATTCACACTGGAGCAAAAGATTATGCGTGTAAACAATGTGGGAAAGCCTTCTATTTGTCCAGTGAACTTCGAAAACATCTAAAAACTCACAGTGGTGAAAAACCCTATGTATGTGAGCAGTGTGGAAAAGCTTTCAGTTCTTCCAGTTACCTCAAAACACATGAAAAAACGCACACTGGAGGAAAGCTCTTTGCATGTAAGCAATGTGCAAAAGCCTACAGTATATACAGTTCCCTCAAAGCACATGAAAGAATTCACACTGGAGCAAAACCTTATGCATGTAAACAGTGTGGAAAATCCTTCTATTGGTCCAGTGACTTTAGAATACATGAACGAAGTCACTGTGGTGAGAAACCCTATGTATGTGAGCAATGTGGAAAAGCTTTTATTTGTTCCAGTTACCTCAAAAGACATGGGCGAATTCACACTGGAGAGGAGAACTTTGCATGTAAGCAGTGTGGAAAAACCTTTAGGTCATCCAATTACCTCAAAAAACATGAAATTATTCACACAGGAGTAAAACTTTATGCATGTGAACAATGTGGAAAAGCCTTCTATTGGTCCAGTAAACTTCAAAGTCATGTAAAAACTCACAGTGGTGAGAAACCCTATGTATGTGAGCAGTGTGGAAAAGCTTTTAGTTCTTCCAGTTACCGGAGAACACATGAAAGAATTCACACTGGAGAGAAGCCCTTTGCATGTAAGCAGTGTGGAAAAGCCTTTAGGGCATCCAATTACCTCAGAAAACATGGACGAATTCACACTGGAGTGAAATAATACGAATGTAAATAGTGTGGGAAAGCCTTCTATTGGTCCAGTGGCCTTAGATCACATGAACAAATTCATTGTAGTGAGAAAACCTATGTATGCAAGTAATGTGGGAAAGATTTTACAACTTCTAGGTACCTGAAATTACATGAAGGAATTCACAATGGAGAAAAGACCTTTGCATGTAAGCAATGTGGAAAAGCCTTTAAGGCATGCAGTTACCTCAGAACACATGAATGAAGTCACACTGGAGTGAATCCTTATGAATGTAAACAATATAGGAATCCCTTTTATTCTTTCAGTGACTTTTGAAGACATAAAGAAACTCACCCTGGGGCAAACCTGCATATGTTCCCACTGTGGGAAAATCTACTTCTGTTGAGTGTCCTTGAAAGACATGAACCAAGTCACAGTCATGTAATGTAGAAAGAAAATAAGGAGAGGCAATCCCTTGCATGGGCACAGTCACTTAGTTGCCCAAGCTTGTCATGCATGTGATTGAATTAGCACTGCTTCCTTGTCAGACATGGAACAGCTAATCCTGTTTCTGGGCTTAGAACTCACTTTTTGAGCTTGTATAATATCATTTCTAAAGGCTGGCAGAGTGGATCATGTGGTAACAGTGCCAGCCTGACAACTGTGAAGGCCTTGAGTTCAAGCCCCAGTGCTGCCCACCCCCCCAAAAAAAAAAATCCACAGTAATATTTTAATTTCAAAGATGACACCAGAACAGAAATAGCAAATACTAGTTTGTTGTGTATTCAAACCACTAATGAATATATATTTACAATTGATATGTGATGAAGTCTTTAAAAGTCCATTACAAAAAATGCTGGCAGAGTTGCTCAACAGGTAGAGGGTAGAGGGCCTGCCTAAGAAGTCTGAGGCCCTCAGTTTAAATTCTAGTCCTACCCAAAGAAATTCTCACAGGTATAATTTTGGTTTAATTACTCATGACTACCCAGTCCTGCTCAGGGACTGAAGTTTATCATGTCCTTTATTTTGTTCTCTACACACCACCATGCTCTTCAACTCTCTGTCACTGGAAAGAGAGATGGAGCTTTTGGGAAGTAGCCATGCAGCTTCTGAGATGTCCCCCTAAGCAAGGAAAGACCCAGAAGGCCAACACAAATTTCTCTTCTTGAAGCCATTTTGAGTGATTCATTCTTCTCAGGCACATATTCTGTATTGTTCTTGGAATGTGTAGCTTGGAATGTGTATTGTTCATGGAATGTATAGCTTGTGGAATGTGTTGGGAGGTGGGGAATTTGTTTTGAGGGCACTGGGTTTGAATTCAGTCAAAAAAGTAGTGATTTCAAAGGATAGTAGAAGATGATGACACAGGTTAAGAAGCAGGTGCCTGGTCTGGAAAGTCTGGACTGGATCAGCTAAATGCAACCAAACCCAAGACTGGGCCAAGTTCACCTAAGAGGAGGAAGCCTTGGTAAGGGGAGCAATGAGTGTAATCTGTACAGGAAGAAACCTTTGAACTCATTAGTGACTGTACTTCAGAGAAGCCTTACAGGACACAAGCGAGATGAATGTCCAGAATATGCAGAGAACCTGCATGAACATAAGAAATGGGCAGTGCTCCAGGTCGCTCAGTTGCCTTCAGAAGCATGCCATGGTTCTTGCTGTAGAGAGACTGTGACAATAAACACTGATGATGATGCACATGTTCTGTATTGTTCATTATTGTAGAATGTGTAGGGAGGTGGGGACTTTATTGTGGCACTGGGTTTGAATTCAGTTCTTCAAGTTTGGTAGGTAGCCACATCTACTGCTAGAGATTACATGCATGAGCCACCAGCCCTACAAATTTCAAGAACAGTCAAGGCAGGAATGAAGTAGTTCTTACATGGGCACATGCATTGAGTTCTCATCTATCTCCTGACCCTTAGACAAATTATAAATTGGGATGGGAAAGATAAAATTTAAAACAACTTGAGAAGCCACTGTCAAATCAATTATGGATGTAATATGCAGAAGCTCCTATGGTGGCTGACCCGGCTATGCCTAGACCCGTCAGGATGGGTACCAGGATAGGGGCAGCTGGCCTAGTTCTGTAATTAGGAAAAGGAGGGGGAATTTGTAGATGTTGTCTGCCTGCTTCCCCTTCATATAGGTAAACCTGGGGAATGATAAGGGTTAATACACAGAGCTCCTCATGATTTTGTCCTGTAAAGGCATGAAAATTAATGCAAGGAATTATTCCCATAGTGCAGGCAAACCAAGTACTAGGAGGGGGCACGAGGTAAGACGGGACATCGCCTGGATTGGAGAGGATGATTGCTTGGGCACATGAATTCCAATAAGGAGATAGTTTAAGATCATAGTCTGGTGTCTTAATACAGAGACCTCATCCTTGGAGGTCCCCAAGGGTGAGTTTGGGGTTAAATCCCTATAGGCAGACAGATTTATTTCTGGTCATTTCAGTTTGGGTCCGATTCTGAACATCCTGTTTTCTGAGCCCAAGGTGGCATCTACCCCAGGACCTACATAGTAAGGTGGCTCAGGATTTAAGCAAAGCCAACAATCAGTGTCAGATTAGGGTTAGTGGCATTTAAGGCTTTAAAAACTACATCTATTGTCCTAAATAGGCCTCTCTGTGTAGGTCTCGAAGTAGGAGAAGTTTGGGCAGGGGAACTGTGATTTCTTTTATCTTAGGGCCTCCAGGGGCAAATGTATCAGGGGGAATCTGGTAAGGATTGTAGGCATTTGGGCCAATAGGGACCTCTTCCCTTATTTCCTCCATGCACTGGATGGTGAACTCTGTCCCTGGATCTCTACCAGTCACATATAATCGAAACCCCCATGTTCTTCCCATTTCCCACATGGACCTTGACCAATGTTGCCATAACTTTAAGGTTATCTTTAGAGGGTTGAAAGTTCCCCCACCACATTGACGGTTGGGGGTGTAATGGTGACTAATGGTGATAAAAGGGTCAACATGTGTCTATGAGACCTCAGTTACACAGTCCCAACTGGCACAGTGGTATTGGCCTGTGCCCTGGCTAGGTACATTGGCTAGGCAAACATAATACTGTCTAGTTTGTAACCCTTCTTCTAAATTGCAGAGACCACATCCATATCGATTTCCTCTCTTCCCTCTGTACATGTATAAATTCCAGCTTTTCCCAAAGAGATCACATATATCTATGGAAAAGATGGGCTGGCCTGCAGTTATGAGCCTTGTATTACTTGACCTGTGACAGAATCTCGAAGTTCCTATGCGACATTTTGGGGCTGGTGGGGGTTTGGGGTGTGTGTGAGGGTTAGAGGCAACAAGCAATTTTAAAGGCAAGGTCATTAAAAACAGATACTGGAGTAACATCTTTGAGGAAAGAAAGAAAACTAAATAGAAACACGTTTAAGTCTTACCTTGATTGAGGGTTCTCGATTGGCCTCAGGTCTAGCGATTGTCCAACACTTGTCAGAATTTTCCATGAAGGCTCTCTTGAGCTGGGTATGATGAATCCATGGGCGTTTTCCAGCTACCTTGATTGCTGTGGGAGTGGACAGGATTGCAGTGTAGGGTCCTTGCCAGTGGGGCTCGAGGCTGTCAGGATGGTGTCTTTTTACCCACACTAGGTCTCCCAGCTCATAAGGAGTTCCAAAGGGGCCATCAGGTGGCCTTTTCTTGGGCCTGCTGAATGGCTGAGTGAATTTGTTTGAGAGTCTGTTGAAGAGCCTGGAGAGACTGGAGAAGATCATGATTAGAAATTTTTGTTAAAGCTTCCTCCCCCAATGTAGGGGTGATAGGGAGCAGTCACCCACAGAGGATCTCAAATGGAGTGAAACCTTGTCTATAAGGGGTACATCTAACTCTTAATAGGGCTGCAGGAAGGAGGTTCACCCAGCCATCGCCCGTCTCCAAGGAGATCTTAGTAAGCAGATCTTTTAGAGTCCAGTTTATCCTCTCTACCTGTCCTGAACTCTGGGGCCTATAAGCACAGTGTAACTTCCATTTGATCTGTAGTGCTTTGGCTATTAATTTAGATATTTTAGCTGTGAAAGCTGGGCCATTGTCAGATCCCAGTATTAAGGGGAGGCCAAATCGGGGAACTATCTCCTGCAGGAGTTTTTTTACAGTGATCTGAGCTGTCTAAGTTTGTGTGGGGAAAGCCTCAGTCCATCCAGAGAATGTATCAACTATCACCAGTAAGTATTTATATCCATACAAGCCAGGCTTCATTTCAGTGAAATTGATCTTCCATTGTTCTCCAGGGAAGGAACCTCGCATTCTCATTCCTGGCTCAACCAAGGATGGCCCTTTTTGGTTAACCTGTTGGCATACACTGCACCTTGCAGTGAAATCTCGAGCCAGGAGCACTAAGTTCTGGATAAAGAACTGTTTTCTTAAAAGCTCAGTTAATTTTGTGGATCCTAAGTGAGTGGTGTCATGAAGGTCTTTTATGAACGTGTGTCCCAGAGACTGGGGCAGAAATATTCTTCCATCTGGCAACATTTTTTATCCAGAGGGGCTTGTTTTTAGCTCGAGGGTCCCCCCTAATTTTAGGTCCTGTTCTGTATAATTTGGTCATAATGGCAGAGCTGGGGGGTGTACGAGTAAGATCTCTAGAGGCCCCTCTGGTTTTATGGCGACTGCTCTTGCAGCTTGATCAGCTGCTTGGTTTCCCCTTGCCTCAGGGTGGTCCCCCTTTTGATGACACCAACAGTGAATGATGGCCACCTTTTTAGGAAGCCAGAGGGCCTCTAAGAGGGCTAAGATTTTCTGGGAATTTTATATCCTCGGAGGTAAGGGAGCCTCTCTCCCTGTAAAGGGCTCCGTGTACATGGGCCATTGCAAATGCATACCGACGTCTGTATATACATTAATAACTTCATCTTTTCCATACATTAGATCTTGGGTCAGGGTGATTAGTTCAGCCTTTTGGGCTGAGGTCCCATGTCCAGGTGCCTGGGCCCAGATGGCCTGGTCAAGGGTGACTACTGCTGACCCCGCATACCTTACTCTGTTGGTCACAAAGCTGGAGCCATCGGTGCAC